AAATTAGTTTGCACCGAATTTGAAAGAGAGACTGATCAAGTAACAGAAGAAGTAACCATTGTAATATTTTCACTGGCCTCCATGTTGCTTTCTACTGTTTACTGACCTGTTTTCTCGCCTGTCCATGACGTAGAATGTGACGCACCAGAACAAAAAAGAAAGGCTTTCTCATCTGCTGCAGAGCAGTATACACATCTCAAGTCTACTGGCAGAGGGAAAGGAGTTTATCGTCTATTTTTAGGGGGGTTTCCCGTGTTCAAAAAACAGCAATCACCTGTTATCAATGACCACTGTTTATCCAAACTACTTAAGAGGAAACCTGCTGCATTCGAATGGAAACCGCGCACCCTGCAGCACTGGGTGTTAAAGTTTGCTTTCATACATCAGTTCTCCACACCGCAACTCAAACTTAACAAAGTGCTGCTGAGGAAAGAAAACACTCATGAATAGTTCCACCTGTGGTGTGTTCACGGACCCGTAAAAACCTCCAAATTGGGAGAAGGGACAACAAAATGATCACAAAGGTACACACATATACACAAAACAAAAGTTTTGCCAACCCCCGGGATAATAACTGCAAAGAACTCATATTTTGTCTTTTGTAACTGGAGATGGCTTCTGATAGCTACTGGGGAAAATAAAACCGCTATCCTCTTCCTGTTTTGGTAGACACACTTCCCTTGTGCCATAAATTGAAACTTCATTTTCCCAGGAAATCGTACCTTGCAGACAGAATTGCATAGTGAGCGCGAGGCTTATAGTGAACCAATCTAAACTCTGATGGTGTCATTCTATAGCCACTACATTGTGCAATATATATTTACTTCATAATGATAAGTTAAACAAAAATGTCTATTTCCACTTTAATGAGAGAACATTCAGCAGATTAATCAAATATGCAGCCATAATTTGACACTTCCTAAAGTTAACCCCATTACTCTAGAGGCTACCGATACTGCAAGACCTTTAACACTGTAAGATATTTTGTAAGAATCCAACATACTTGCATGTATGCGTCTTCGCCAGCTGCTTGTCAGCATTCATCAGATACTGGCATGCTCAACGGGAATAATTAGGCTCGCAGCCATGAAACACAATAAAGCCTCACAGTTGTCTGCCAAGTACATTACACGCACAAGTAGTGTGACTTATTGTATGTGTGTGTTTCACCTCACAGATAAAGACAGACAGCCGGTCAGGCCGAAACAAAGCCGGTTTAGAGAGCAACCTGTAGGATTTCCAGGCTGATCTTCGTGTTGTTGTGGGTGCTGATGCTTCAGCCTTGACTTGAACAGACAAAGCTAATTTGGAGCTAAACCTGCCCAGTCTGTTCTGATAATAACGCTGTTATCAGTGATAGCAATGCAGCTGGATTGATCACAGTGGTCAAGTCCAAAGGTGTTTTATTCTGAATAATAAATGTGTTTATAATGACAGCAGGTTAGGGCTTGGCAATGATAAGATATTATTCACAATACACTCTCAGCAGAGTCATATTCTGTAATAATACAATCTTGTAGTTATGTTGTTCAGATGAATTATTCTTAGCAAACTTTAATAAGAAATAACAGTTGTTTACAGTAAACATCAGTTAAGATATTTCACATAACTTGCTTTGTTGTGTTAGTTATCAGACTCGTAAGTAAGGGCTGCAAATAACAATCACTGTCATCATTTTCTTGATAAATCATTTAGTGTATAGAATTCAAAGGCTTTTAGTTTACAGTAAAACAGGAAAAAGCAGAACATCCTTAAATTGGACAAGTTTGAGACCAAGGGATATCAGACATTTTTCCAAAAAAAAAAAAAAAAACCTTTAACAATGAATCGATTATCAAAATTTAAACACTAACTTCACTAATTTTCTGTCAGTTGACTGATCGATTCATGAAGTAATCAATTCTGCTTTACTGAAAATGTCCTTATCTACCAGTGCTCTTCTAGAGGCAGTTTTCCCATATGAGCTCTGGATAATTAAAGCAGAATCAGGTCCAGATATTGTACAGAGTTTCCCTTTCACATGCAACACACAACAGGAGATTTTCTGTGTCAGAAGTGTTCGCACCTACCAGAAAAACTCTGTGGTTTAGGCAAAGGGTGGTGCTGCAGTAGAGGGTGCATGACACGACATGGATTACACTGCAGTCATGAAGCCGGTTCGTAATTTGGTCATAAACAACAAAGTGTCTTGCCATTCTTTGAATTTGTCTGACAACTTAGACTTAGGCCCTTACCGACAGAAGTTCACAAAACTCGTCATCCTTCCAGTTAGACATTTTTGTTGCTGCCCTTGTGTAAGTGACCTTTCTTATTCACTTTGGATGTTTGTTTTCCTCGGGTTACGTGTGAGCCTCATGATAGATAGAAACATCGTCAACACGCCCACTCACTGGCTGTGAATTCTCCAGACAATTACCTGTTCTATTCCCACATGGACTCAGTAGGACATTACACAGACTTTGTATGAGGGAGCTGGCAAGGTAAAGACTGTTGAAGGTGCGAATCAGCTGATACCTTTAGTCACACCCTTAACAAATTTAGACTAGAGCAACAATGTTTTAACTTGAATGATTGATCTGATCTTAGTGTTATTCTAGTTTGCTGTGAACTACAGAAATATATACACTGCAGTTTGGAGTCAGCTGTTGTATACACATTTTTCACCAGTGGATGTATATCTATGATTAGTATAGTGTGTGTTTGTGTCTGTGTGTGTGTGTTTGACCAACACAGGTGAGATGGCAACACACACACACACACACACACACACACACACACACACACACACACACACTTACAGCTACACACACTGCCAGGGACAAGTCACATTAGCCTGTGCTAATGAGAGCTTAGCAACACCTTAACAAGCCATAATCTAGAGCTACATTAGCTGTATGGCTGTTGGCACTGTGTGTGCGTGCGTGCGTGCGTGCGTGCGTGCGTGCGTGCATGCGTGTTTTCTCACTGTAAGGTGTCATTGTGTAGACAGCTGCAGGGCTGCCACTCTTACCTCCTGCCCTCCTTCTGTTTGTCCTCCCTCTCTCTCAAACCTTCATCTGTTCAGGCTTGTCTGAGCCCCCCTTGACACCAACACACTTTGTACACACTAATGGCTTCCTCCTCACTTATACCACAGCAGACTCAATGATTGTCTGGCATGTAAACCCTATTTGCTAAGAAAGGCAAAAACACAGACAGAGTGAAGCCCTGTTTGCACTTATGTGAATGTACTTCAGCATTTTCTGGGATTTTGTTTGCCATCCATCAGGAGAGGGGTTATTTCTTTACGTCTGATTCAGTTCAACCCATAAGTGTGAAGGAAATTTTGTCGAGGTCAGGGCAGCTCTGTGCAGACCAGTCAAGTTCTTCCACATCAAACTAGGAAAAGTATAGAGAAGGATCAAAAGCTGAGTACAGATAAACCTTAAGTTCACACATTTCTCACTGTATCTGCGAGATGAAAAGGATTTATTAATCCCCTTTCCTTCGTACAAAATCAACTTTAAGTATTTGACAGAAAATGCTGCAGAGAGATATCTGTGTATCTCAAAAGACCACACTATTATCAACAAACACTGTCCATAACATGGCCAATATCATGGTGGATAGCAGTGCGGCTCCACTCTGCACCTGCAGCTACTAACTGCTTCATGTGTAAGCAGGTGGTCCTGAATGGACATGCATGGATCACTAAGTGTATCACAGAAGCAAATATCATATGAATAAGCAACTTTCATTAAAGAACAATGAATAATATTCAGCCAGAAAACTGCATAATGCTCCTACACCTAGACTTTCTGTCTGTCTTTCTATCTGGGTTTGTGCATGAAGGCACTATCATGTTACAGCTGGAAGCTGTTGGAAGCACACTGTTACATCTCAGTATGCATCAGGGGTAAATACATAGTGTATTTGAAAGTCTGTCTGTATGTCTGTTTTCAAGAACAAGTGGATCTGTTTAAGGACTGGATAAGGTTGTGGTAGTGATCCTGACTTTGGATTTCCAGTTACCCTGATTGTGGAGTACAGTATGGAAGCCCATTTCTGCCAATGTGATGAAAAAATATCCTGTATATCATTATAATGAGAAGCTTTCTCAAAATAATGACAAACTGTCACAAAATAATGACTTAGTATCTCAAAATAATGATTTAGTATCTGGAAATAATGATGCTTTCTCAAAAAAATGACTTGCTTATTTCACAATAATGACTTAATGTCTCAAAATAATGAGAAACTTTCTCAAAAATAAAGCTAGTATCTCAAAATAGTGAGAAAAAGTTCTCAAAATAATGGTGTGCTTATCTCAGAGTATTGACTTAGTTTTTCAAAATAATGGGAAACTCTCAAAATAATGAATTATCCTGAAAAGATTACTTAATATCTCATAATAATGATTGACTCTCTCAAAAACTGACCTAATATCTTAAGATAATAAGAAAAGATACAAAATCATTGGAGTAATACTAAGTCGTTATTTCGAGAAATTTGTCATTGTAATGATTTATAGGATCTTTCTTTTCACCACATTAGTGAAAATGGGTTTCCAAAGTACAAAGACATTAAAATGCAGTAAATTACTTCCTCCATTGTTACACCTTTATTGTTACACAAACATGGCAAACACACATGCTTTTGCTTCCTCTTAACAGTGAGTCTCGATCATTTCTCACCATGTGTGTAGAAATCCTCTTGTTTTGGGAAAGACATTTACGTGCCGTCTCTGTCGCATCCTTTTTCGTTAATGACTATAAACTGCAGGACTGTAAAAATTTGACTAAGGGTCATAAAATGCTAACAACCCAGGAAGTACTGCCTTTGCTAACCTGCTAGCATTTTGTTACTTGTAAATGAAGAATATGTTGATGACAGTACCAGCATTGCCATACTGACACAAAATTAGCATAATAATTCAGGTAACATTGAGCTGGACCTTATTTAAGAAAGCGGCCAGGTGACGATCAGTGTGCAGTAACAGCCCTCACTCTGTTTGTGTGCAGGCTGCAGGTTGAAGCTGCGTCTTTGCCTTTCTGTGAGAGGAGCAACTCGAACACAACGTTTACAGGTAAGTCTGGCTGGTGTAACACAGATGGCAGCTCACCTCTCTGTAGTAGTTTATTTATGTGTATTGTTTACCTTGCTCAGGGGCACTGTGGCAGTGAAAGTCCCATATTATCACAGTGACTGAGGTTGATGTATGAAGTATGGCTGACTGAACAATTTGACGTTGTTTGGAATAAGTGGGTTGTAATGGGGTTCTTGTGGATGCAGTGATTTATGTTTGATTCTGGCAAAAAAAAGCAGTGTAATTCTGATAATTGAGCCTTTATGCCGACATTACACATAAACAATAATTTCTGGATTCTGGAAACACAATGACATGGTTAAAAATAATTCAGTGCAGTCACAAAACACGGAAACAAGCCTTTAGGTTAGAACTTATCTGAATGAAAAAAACAAAGGTGGATGAAAAAATAGTAGATCAGATTGTAGTCAACTTTATTCTCACTGCACAGAGTACAGAGCAAAAATAACAGAGTTACTGATGGCTGGACAGTGTTGTGTCATCCACGATACTGAGAGTATTCAATGAATATTAGTAATTTCTTGCAGCAGTGACTTTTAGGGTTAATTTTCTCAGTCATTGGCTGTGGTGCAGGTTACCCAGCAGACACTGCTCATCAGATCATTTGTCACACTAAAGACTTTTCAAAATGAAACAGCGTTGTGGTTCACTGAGGGAAACCAGAGTGTTTCACATTATGTAAGTCGGCTGTAATGGGATTCTGGCCTGATGATTCCCAGCATGCACTGCAGCCTCCATTATTTATGGGGTTGCCATAGTAATGGGGCTTGGGAGGGGTGGAGACTGACAGCTGGTAGATCAGGGACAGGGACAGACCCTCCCCCCAGCACACCTGTGTGTGTGTGTGTGTGTGTGTGTGTGTGTGTGTGTGTGTGTGTGTGTGCGTGCGTGTGAGGGGGGTTTACCACAGTGCTCATGAGAACAGGGACTTGAAGGTTTTGCCATGCATTTTTTATGCACTGCATCAGTGTGTGTGCTGTGTGTGTGTGTTAGAAATATTGCCATATATGTAAGCATTTGTAACGTGCAAGTGTAGGCCTACAAAAGGGTTCAGTGATAGGAAAAAATACTCAAATGTAAATTAATATTACATCCTGGAAGGGCTGATTGTGGATTAGGGCCAATTATCCTAGGGTTTTGTTTGACTTTCCCCAGGTGTTTTCGGATGAAAAAACAAAAAAGTGCAGTGTGGAGATGGTGTGTGCATGTTAATGTATAAGCGGTTCATAAATAGATCCTGCGTGCTGGCACAAGCTGAGCTATTGATAATACCAATATCGTGAGTGTAATTTTTTTTGTAATTTGTTTTTACACACATGAAAAGTTTAAACTGGTGATGCAAAATAGGGAACACACATAATTGCTTTGAAGAACAGCTGGATTTGTTTATTGAAATAAAATAATTGAAAATATCAGAGATCCCACATCTGTCAGGTAGGAAAGCTGATACGATTCCATATGATACGATATGATATGATATGATAAGTAGAACTTTATTCATCTTGACAGAAATTACTATGCAGCAGTTATAATACAAAGTTGAAAGAGTGCAGATACAGAAAGAGTTATGCTGTAGTTTGGTGTGTGTGTAATACCTTTGGGACAGGTGTGTCACTGCTTGCAAGTGTGTGTAATATGAAGCAGATGGATGCGTGTGTATGTGTGTGTGTAGTCCCATGTCTTCAGGGTTGGGCTTTCTATGAATCACATTACACACACACACACACACACACACACACACACACCCACACACCAATACATGTGCATCAGACATTTTGTTGTGAGCAAGAATACACACTCCGCCCTATATGAATTGGCGCAGTTTTAACTTAAAGGTTTGGGGTTCAAAAAAAAACTTAAAGAAAAAGTGTAATGTGAAAAACAGAGGCCTTGATTATGAAAATAAATAGTCAGTATACCAGCAGGTGCATTTACTTATCTGGACTAACATGCTCAATGAAAACCCAACAGCAAACATACAGATCCCAGCTATTAGCATCAGGGCTCCACATTAACACTTGCCTAAGATAAGTTATCTCCATTTAAAGGTGAGTGGAATGCCCCATGCAGTGTCCGATCAGGCAGGTAAAAAATACCGTTATCTGAAAATTACCTGTGTGCTTTAGCAGAATCTGAGCTTTTCCAGCTAAGCTGCATGCTGCTGTCTTTCCACCAAGTATTGAACAGGACTGATGAGAAAAATCTAACTGAATTCCAATCTGACGCTCTACGCTGATGTTGTTTAAACAGAAAGATTGTTCTATTTCTGCATGAATTAATAAATAGTTTAAGCCCAGTTCAGACCAAAGATTCATGACAAGACTGGTTGAAACTAGCAGCAACTACTTGCAATACGTCAGTCTGCAGACTTCCACAGACGACAGACTTGCTACTAGATTTCAGCTATTGTGACAAGTCTAATCTGAACCCAGACCTGGACAACGTGTAGAGTATGGCTTTATCCAATAATAAATTTCACTACCAATTAATCTGCCAATTATTGGCTTGATTGGTAAAAAAATAAAAAAAATAAATAAAAGTTCCCTACAGTCCAGGATAACGTCTTTAAATGTCTTATTTTTTCCAAAACTCGGAAGTCCTGGTTAACAAACATATAAAACAAAGAAAAGCTAAACATAATCACAGTTGGGAAGCAATAACTAGGTTTTCTGTCGATTGACTAAAAGATTTATCTAGAGAATACAGTGATGAGACAGAGAGAGAGAGAGAGAGAGAGAAACAGCTCTCAGACAGTTTTTCCAGTGAAAAATGGTTTTGTCTAAATTCCAGTGGACTCATGTTGCTCCTCAGCTTTCTTTCTATTCTTTGATCCCTTGCTCTTTATTCTCCTCTGGTCCCCTTCCCTTTCCCTCTCTCTGTCAGTAGCTCTCTCTCTCTCTTCCTACTTTGTGTTCTTTCAGTATGTCTCTCACTCCTGCTGTTCCACTTACCCCATTTTACTTTCCCACTTTCTGTCCTCTTCATGTCTTGCTCTTCTTCATGTGCTCACTCATTGTTGGGACACTCAGACCGGACAGATTCCACTTTTTACTTTTCTTTTCATTCAGTCTTTTCCCTCTTCCACACACACACTGACATGATAAATAGCTGTAAGCATAAAACTTTCCAGACAGATTTAACGGAGCGAGGGCTGATGTGACGAAGGAAAGACAAAGAATAAAAGTGTGAAAGGGACTGAGAGAGACTCACAGCAGCTCTTTAAGCTGTTGTCACAGTTAAAAAAAATGAATGTATTTGTTTTAGTTTACTTTTTTCTTTATTTGTCTTTGGTCCTTTACATTTCTTTTAGGGGAACAGCTGTCATACCAATTGTACAGTTTTTAATTTACCAGTAACAGGAAGTATTTTGTATTTTGAATTCATAGAAATTTCCATGAACTTTTCCCAACTATTTCCATGTATGTGAAGTCTTTACCTCTCCCATGTCACATCACATGAATAAAGGTAGATTTTAAGCTTAAAATTGACTCCATTAACACATAAAAAACAGCACATGAGACAAATTAGCACCCATTAGCATATTCTTGAAAATATATCCTCATTTAACCCAAACCATGATCTTTTCCCTAAAACTTAAGGGATATCTGGCTTAAAGCTCCCAAGGCAAACTTCACCCAACAGCCATTAAACATTAATTAACAACAATAATTGTCAGAGCACAGTTGCAAAGAATTTGGGGATTTCATCATTTACAATCCATAATATCATCAAAAGGTTCAGAGAATCCACTCAGCTCAATTCAAATTTATTTAAAAAGCACATTTAAAAACAACTCATGTTGACCAAAGTGCTGTCCAAACATCTGCCTAAAATGCTAAAAAAAAAAAAAACACATATACATAGGGGTGACATAATTGTCAGGTACACAGCTCACACATTTAGAGACACAGAGAAGTCTCTGAACGTATGTGACAAGGCTGAAAACCTTTGATCCTTCAGACTGCACTGCATTAAAAACTGACTTAATTGTATCAAGGATATTTCTACATGGGCTGAAAAAACACTTTGGAAAACCATTACCAGTAAACACAGGTTGTCACTTCATAGTAAAAGCCGTATATCAACAACATCAGGAAACGCGTCCGACTTTGTTAGACCTGAGCTCAGTTGAGATGGACAGACTCCAAGTGGAAAAGTGTGCTGTTGTCTGACGAGTCCACATTTCAAATTGTTTTTGGAAATCATGGACGTCGAGTCCTCAGGGCTAAAGAGGAAAAGGACCATCCAGATTGTTACCAGTGCAAAATTTAAAAGCTAGCATCTGTGATGGTATAGAGGTGTTTTAATACCCATGGCATCATGAGTAACTTGTACATCTTTGAAGCCACCATGAATGCTGAAAGGTACATACAGGATCTGGAGCAACATATACTGCCATCCAGACTACATATTTTTCCGAGACATCACTGCTTATTCCAGCTAGACAATGAGACACATTCTGCACATTACAACAGCGTGACTTTGCAACATTTGCACTTTTCAGGAGCTCCAGTTTATGCTTTCTCTGAATAATACAAGTCCTGTATGTGTGAAACTGTTGTTCCCCAAAATGTTAAGGCATATCACTGGTCACAACATGTCAACCTGAGGGCGTCCCTAAAGCCCAGTTTAGACCAAAAATTCGCAGTGAGATAAGATGAAATAGACAATTACTTGAAAGCACCGCTCTGCAATGTTCTAATAACCTACCGGTTTACACCAATGCAACTACATGAGATAGTGTATCATGTCTATACAACAACTCTTTATACTTCTGTTCTGATCTCCAGCTTTTCAGGTTTATTTTGTAGCTGACTACAATTTTTAGTTTCTTAAGAATATGAATGAGGATAGTGATAGTGAGGCACTGGCTAGGGTGGCTTTTATAGTAAGAAAACGACGAAAACCAAAAACAAACAAGCATCTGATGGACTGTATTCATTATAAACACGTCACAATAATATAAATAACCAGCAGCA